AATTAATATCTTCCATCGAGTGTTTGTAAACTGGACTGATGCACGCTTTGGGATGTAATTAATATCTTCCATCGAATGTTTGTAAACTGGACTGATGCCAACGCTTTGGGATGTAATTAGTACTTTCCATCGAGTGTTTGTAAACTGGACTGATGCACGCTTTGGGATGTAATTAATATCTTCCATCGAGTGTTTGTAAACTGGACTGATGCCCACTTTGGTGTGTAATTAGTACTTTCCATCGAGTGTTTGTAAACTGGACTGATGTGCACTTTGGGGTGTAATTAATAATATCAGACCAGTTTACAAACACTCGATGGAAGATACTAACTACACCCCAAAGTGCGCATCAGACCAGTTTACAAACATTCGATGGAAGATATTAATTACATCCCAAAGCGCGCATCAGTCCGGTTTACAAACATTCGATGGAAGGTACCAATTACACACCAAAGTGGGCATCAGTCCAGTTTACAAACACTCGATGGAAGATATTAATTACACTCCAAAGTGTGCATCAGTCCAGTTTACAAACACTCGATGGAAGATATTCATTACACCCCAAAGTGGGCATCAGTCCAGTTTACAAACACTCGATAAAAGGGCAATGTTAAAATGTTCTTTAGTCAACTAAACGTAAGACCCGTGGAACTACTTCTGTTCTCAGTTTCAGAACACTCAGATCATGAAAGTTTCCTTAACTTAGCTTTGTGAGAAATCCATAACAAACAAACAAACTTTTAACTGAGTAAACTAAAATTATATAACAGGGTGCAGGTTAATGATTAATCACTAAACTTGCTTATTTTCTCATTAGCAGATGTTTGTGTATAGTAGTTAGTTCTCTTTGTAGAAAAGGACAAAAATGTACAATTTTAATTTAGTTTAAACTATAGGTGATGAGGTGACCTGTAAACAGTCATGTCTCACCTATGTAAGTAATTGACATTGAAATAGGGAGATTTAGTTTCTTTTTAAGAGGTACCCTCTTAACTTATGAACAATGAGAAGATTTAAAACAGCTATTTGTGTTTGCCTCTGAAGAATAAAGATCCACCTTTCAAAAGCCCTCAGGTTATAGGGTTTTCATCATTTTGTATCAAGACTCATTGAACCTATGTGTTTTTCTGACATCATGAATGTGGAATAATAGATTTATTTCTGAACAGCATTTCATCTCTAACAGTGAGACATGAGCATGTACAATGTTTATCACACAAATAGATGTAGAGATTGTTTTTTCATAGTGTATACAACATTAACACAATATGAAACTAATTTTGTGCAATGTATTCAGATACTAACTACTTTATTTTCTTTTGTATTCCAGCATGAAAGACTGGAGATCAGAGAAGCAGGTCAAAGCTCCTGTACAGCACTGAACCCCTGTTTGTAGTTTCAGTTATCAGTTCATTACAAGAAGGGTGTCAGACATGTAATATATATATGCTTTTTCTAAACCTAGTTCTGTAGATTTTTGAGATATGTTTTGGTGCACTTTCCATTCCAGATACAGAATAATTGTCAAGCGCAGAACAACAAAAGTTGTGCTTTACTAGGACTAAACTTCCTTTAAAAATTAGTTAATGAAATAAATGAAAAACTTTTGGTGTTAATTTTGTAATTAATTTATTTGTAATGTAGTGATCTTTATTTAAACTATGTGGATGTTTACTTGTAAACCACAACTTGAGTGGGTAATATATAGACAATTCTACTATGTTATGGAACTGTTCTTTTTTCAACTGTTTATACAGTTATATTAAACATGAAGTACAGGTGTTCATTATAATTATAAAAATAATATAATTGTATGCAGTCAACAGTAGGTGATGGGCCAAAAGTTCAACATCAAGAAAGTGTTTTGGTAGATATGTATTGTTACTGTTGTTTGACTAAAAGTTCTAAATAAGGTCTTGGAAACATGATAATTGTTTCTTACACTTTGTGATTATTCTTGTATTTCTTTGTAGTATTTTAATAGATTCAAGTATTTACCCTATAGGTCTTGCTGAAATGTTGCTCATCATTAATTTCAGTGATGTTTGAAAATTCAGTACTTTTTTGGAAAACAAAATGCAGCCCTTTTTTTAGGATATTATGGTATGTTTAAATGAAATGATTGATTAAGCAGTTGGACTGAAAAATATCAAGAAACTTTCACTATCCTATATGCTTTCTAGTTGGCAGAATAAAATGCAAGAGAAGTTACAAACATTCTGATTGCACAAAAGAACAATGACTACTTCTCTTGATGCATTAAATATAAAGCTCTCGTTCAAAACAGAACAAAGCATTATGGTGATCAAATGATACTAATATTTCCATCAGTGATGAAATTTGCTTCATTTGAGAATGTTTTAAAGTTACATGTGGTACATAAAATGCCATTAAAGGCACATGCATAACATGCTTTTCTTTAGGAAATAATTTAGTACAAAGTACTGATAAGGTAAAAGTCACACACTCCAACATGGGAAAGGTTGTCATTAAACCTAAAGTGAACAGTCAGCATGTAACTTGCTGTAGGAAAGTAGAGAGTTTTGTGATATTAAATCAATGGTTGCAAAGCTGATTAAAATATTGTTAATTTGAGGTATTATATGAAATTTCTAGAGATCTTCCTTTTGAGGGTCACTTAGATAAGCATCAGGTTCTAGAAAAAGAATGCATTGAATAATTTGTTGACTCACTTCAGTGGACATATGCCAACCTTAAAAATTGCTCCAGTTTCTCGGTGTCTACCAAGAATCAATACACTTACAAAGGAATGAAAAAATGGTTACAGTTGTGTGATAACCACATTGTCTGTATATGAGGTTCGTCATTCCATTTGTAGAAAGCAATTAGTGCTTTTGCTCGTTTTTTAATTTAAGAAGCATTTTGTGCTTTTTTTATGTGATATAACCTTTGTTAATATAAATTGAGAGTTAAAATATAACTCCTTGATTAACTGAGACGTTGAGTATTTGTTGATGAAAGTGTAGTTAATTTTTGAACATGGCTGTATACTGTTTGTGTTAGTGATATATATGTTGATTTTTATGTTACAGAAAGATTTTTTTTTCTGAAGTCAATGTTTTTCTCCACTTTAAAGATAAAACCGCAAAGAATATACCTTCTCCTGAGTTAATAAGGTACAAAAATATTCATATCTAAATAAAACAAAATTCAATACAAGTACATTTCTTTCAGTAAATTTTAATTTATGGCCAAAGCTTTTCTCTCTTTACTTAGAGTGAAGTGGTCTGTGCTTTGTTTAGAACATATCATCTGGCTGGGGGAATCCCTCAGTAGATTAAAATTTTTGAGTGACACCGAAAGACATCAAACTTTTACTGTATTTCTTTTCATGAAAAGAAATTTGCTCATAGTCACACAAGGAATTTCCTATGTTCTCATGTCTAAAGGAGCTTTGTGGCAATGAATAAATCCCATTGAATTATTAGCATAAGAACTTTCTTATTAGCTAGCAAGAATTCAGGTCTCATTTTTCCCACAGATTTCAACTATTTTATGAAAATAAGGATACAAAATAAATCATTAATAGAGATGTAACTTGAGCATCATACCTAATAGATAGGGCACAGATATCCCAGTTGCTTTGCACCAAAAATTCCCTTGCCCAAACCAAACCTAATAGATAACCATTAGGAAACTCATAGTTATCATACCTTGTTGAGTCATCCAAAGTTTAATCAATACATATATCCTATAGAAGTCAATTTTTTATCCTTATTTTTACAAAAAAAAATCTATGTATCAATTTACTTGAATTCCTGACTTAATATAAAGTTGTCAAAAATATATTTTATTTTTCCTATTTAGTAAAAATTTAAATGAAAAGGATTAAGAATTTATTAAACAAAAATGTAAAAATAATTATAGTAAATTACTCTACATTGTTTAATACCTTTGAAAGATGTCAATTCAGGTAGACAAAAGATTGCTGTATTCTTCTTAATGTAGTGTGGTTGATTTTAGAAACTAATTACTGAGTTGGTCTTTATTTGTGTAAATTATTACAAATCATATATTTTTTTTTCTATAAAATGTAGATGTTCTGGAATGGAAAGTGCTTTAATTTTGAAGTTTTTAATTTTTTTTGTAGCTATCCATCCCGGTTTTATTTTACTCGTTATAAAAGGGTCATTTGTAAATTGAGTATCTTTAGAATTTGTTGAATCTATGTTTAGTCCAGCCTTTAAGTATCTTAAGTTCTACATAATGTTGATTTTTGTACAGAGTAGACCAAAATTACAAGACCAATTGGTTCAGAACAGTGTTAAGTAATGTTTTTTTGAAAAGGTTTTTCCCTCTTAAGAGATCACATTTCTTAAAGCAGAAGAAATTTCAGTTTGTCATTGTTATACACAGTTCTGTTAGTTATCTCAAGTATGATAAAGAAATGTAACTTTTATTAGTTGTTGAAAGAGGAATATGTCTATGTTGTTCCATGATCTATCAGTTTTGACAAAAAATTTTCAACTTGAAACAACTGTAAGTTTGGAACATATTTCTGCTCTTTTCTCTTAAAAATTTATGTTCACAAAATGACAATCTCAGGTTCAGCAGTTTCACCAATATGATGTTTTTTTGTTTATACAAAAAGTCTGGCTTTGAATTACCAGACTGGTAGGAGGGGGGGGGTGATATGGAGATTTTAACTTTTTCTTTTCTTCAAATCTCTCATTATGTGATAATATCAGCAAGATATATTTGTTAAAAATAAAAACGTACTTCAGTGATAGCCTAACTAGGTGAGATTTTCTACAGGTTCATTATTAGTCGATTTCAAGTTCATTGCATATTCAACGTTTTTCCTCCATGAGTCACATAACCATTTTTAGAAACATTTTCTATAAGATTTGTTAGAATCTTACTCTGAAAATTTGTCATTAACATTGTTTAAATAATTAAATATTTGTCATTAAAAGCACTGAAGTCAGAATAGTTGCATTGTCAGAAGTACTTGATGTTTTTCAAATTTCCACTGGCTAGAACGTTAAGGTCCTAGAAAAATCATTTATCTAACAGTTGAGGTTGAACTGGGTAACCAGATTGTAATACATGTTATTGTTAGCCCAATTTAAATTACATAAATTCAATGTACCAGTATTAGTATTTACTTGTGTGAACTGTTTAAAAATATAATCCACAAAACACATTGCCTTCCTAAGCCTATTTGGAAAAATTTACAGTTGAAGTGTATCATATTATAATCAAAGAACATGTACAAAATGCTTACACTGTTAGCACCTAAAGCATGATGATTAGGCTTAAATTCCTTTTATCATTCATACCCAAGTTTAAAATTTCAGTCCTGAGTTATTTTAATGCTACTGCTAGTTTCTGCCAAGCAAGCTGAATGCCTTGGGAGTGATCCTATAAACTGGTGAACAAACATTTCTGTTAGGTATGCCTGTCAATCTATGTAGGTTATGGAACTACACATAAAGTAAATTATTTGTGATTTGTGAGACTTTTCACTTTTTCTGTACAGCTTGTTTCTTCCAGCCTGGTGTATTTGTAGATGATATTTGTCTCCAGTTGTTATTGTGGTCTGAGCAACTGGTGACCAGTGTAGTTCGATCTAATTGTACAACATGCTGTAATTTATACACCACTTCTTAGCCTGTGATTCTGGATTTTTATGGAATAAAATATAGAGATCACATTTGAAAGAACTTGCTGACTTACTTGTTTTCAATCTTAGAAAGAAAAAAATTAAAAATAGTTAGAACTATGAAAAAATGAAAGTGTATCTACATCTGCAATCACGTTTTTAAAAAACAATAAACATGACACAGAACATGGTTTCAATATGCTAAACGTATGTGATGTTTTTCTGTGGTACATGATATTCTCCATAAACCACAGTCAGAAAAAAAATACAAATATTAGTTTTAAAATTACAACTTCTAATCAAAGAAAAAACTAGCAGCTGACATTCTGTCTTGCATAAGAACAGTTTGTTAACAACTTCTAGACAACATATACACAAAAAAAGGATGTTTTAGCAAATTACTTGAGTGGGTAAGAGACAGAGGCTGTCATTCTTCCCTGGTGGTGTTTTTCAGTCATTCTACATTGAAAAAGCCTCTTCAACCATCTGCTAAAAGCAAGGTTACCATCCTAACCTTAGTAACTGAAAGAGCCATAGAGACTTTTTACGTAATAATTCAAATAAATTGGCAGAGTGTGTTTCTGCCACTAATATGAGGTGGTTTCTTCCACTGTATGTAAGAACTTGTCTTGCATAATTTTGTGTTTCTAATGGCTAAAAGTGTGTAACTTGGGGATCGAGATCAATATTTAATCACTAAGGTTGAATTCTGTGAACATTCTTTTGTATGGCGTGTGACTGGTACATTTAATCTGAGGTATTCTTGTTTGGCCCTTTCTCGCAAATACACACTGGAGCTTTTCTATCATAAAATCCAGTTTCTAACAACAGAAAATAAGTCTCAAAATGGAAAGGAAATGTACATATACTAGAAACTTTCAGTATAGTGTCAACAAGTTATTGAAGGAAGGGTTCATTAAGTTATGAGTGTAAGAAAAATGCTCCATCCTTTGTTATACACAGTTCTAATGGTTGAGAATTGATGAGTATTCACTGTAGTAACCAGCCTGAGCTGGAATTCTGTGGAAGTTCATTACTCTTATAAAAAGTATTTAAAATTGGTATAATAATGTATCCACTGACAGGTTGAATCCTCATTATAAAGATGATGGATAAGTTAATTCAGGCCTTAATCAGTTTTTCAGGAGTGATAGTTCAAATCCAGTCCAGGTTTTATTTATATCAGCATTGCCGTATGCTGACATTAAACTCTGCATGTTTAACAGTTAACATGTTATGACACTGACTTCTACATGTTTAACAGCTCATGTGGTGTGACATCGACATCCACATGTTTAACAGTTCATATGGTGTGACACTAACTTCTGCATGTTTAACAGTTCATGTGTTATGGCACGGAACTCTGCAAGCGGGATGTTATGTTTGTTATGCCACTAACCTCTTTAGTTTAATGATCTAAGTTATACATGATTAACATTATTTTAAATCCATTACCCTGAACTTCATGTTATCTTTTGCTTAAAATGTTGTATTTTTGGGGAATTAAATTTACCTGATTAGCCGGTTAGATCGTTGTACATTTATGTCACATTTTAAAAACATCATTAAAAAATGTATTAATTTTGCAAAAACTGTGGCCCACTGTTTCGGATTTTTATGTTAAATTTGTCATTCTAATTGTAAGTTATCAGCCCATACTCCCAGTATTGTTAGATTATACAAGTTCATACAAAATAATTAGACAAAATCTAATAAGATGCTAAAGTTCACCTTAGAAACATGACAGAAGTGATATTCTATTCAGCAGGTTACCCTAGTGACATAATTAAAGTCGTACACTATATTTTATAATAAGCGTTACCTTGGTGATATAACTGAAGTGGTTCACGTGGCATTCTGTTATTGATATTGCCATGGTGATGTACATAAAACGAAATACAATATATTTTTGTAATATATTTCCTTCGTATTTTATGATGCATAACGTGTAATTTCTGTAATTATTGTTCAACTACTGCAAGAATTTCATTTTAAAACTTTACAATCCCTGATTGATAAACGTAGTCTACTTTCATAATTCATAGTAAACTACAACAAAAACTCGTCGTCGTACAGCTGAACCTGCTGAATACCAGAATGAACGCAATAACAGTTACTTGGAAGTTTTCTTTATCCAAGAAGATTAGTAAAATAAAATATGTCAATTTACTTTCGAAAGCATGACCAGCTGAGAACGGCATAATAAGCTTTTATGGGAGTAATTGGGTTAAGAAATGGCCTGCAACAGAACTTTAGGAGGGCCATTTTTCTGGCTAAAGTAATGGTTATGTGCCCAGCTTTATAGTCATTATTGTACAAAACCATGAAGGAGTGCACCAAATATGTTTATAAATACAACACAGAGTGAGGGTTTTCTGAAGGGTTGCGTGTTTATAAGTAAGTAATTAATGATATTTATATATTTGCTTCAGTTCTTTAGCTATTATTTTACCCACCTCATCGTACGAATAATCAAATTAAAAGCAATATGTATCTATCACACGGACCATTTGTAGACAGACTAGAATATCTATCATACGGACCACTTGTAAACAGACTAGAATATCTATCACACGAACCACTTGTAAACAGACTATAATGTCTATCACACGAACCACTTGTAGACAGACTAGAATGTCTAGCACACGGACCACTTGTAAACAGATTAGAATGTCTATCACACGGACCACTTGTAAACAGACTAGAATGTCTATCACACGGACCACTTGTAAACAGACTAGAATGTCTATCACACGGACCACTTGTAGACAGGCTAGAATGTCTATCACACCACATTCTAGCCTGTCTACAAGTGGTCCGTGTGCTAGACATTCTAGTCTGTCTACAAGTGGTTCGTGTGATAGACATTCTAGCCTGTCTACAAGTGGCCCGTGTGATATACATTATAGCCTGTCTACAAGTGGTCCGTGTGATATAAATTCTAGTCTGTTTACAAGTGGTCCGTGTGATAGACATTCTAGCCTGTGTACAAGTGGCCCGTGTGATAGACATTCTAGTCTGTCTACTAGTGGTTCGTGTGCTACACATTCTAGCCTGTCTACAAGTGGCCCGTGTGATAGACATTCTAGTCTGTCTACAAGTGGTTCGTGTGATACACACTCTAGCCTGTCTACAAGTGTTCCGTGTGATACACATTCTAGCCTGTCTACAAGTGGTTCGTGTGATAGACATTCTAGCCTGTCTACAAGTGACCCGTATGATACACATTCTAGCCTGTCTACAAGTGGTACGTGTGCTAGACATTCTAGTCTGTCTACAAGTGGTCCTTATCACACGAACCACTTGTAGACAGACTAGAATGTCTATGACACGGGCCACTTGTAAACAGACTAGAATGTCTATCATACGGACCACTTGTAAATAGACTATAATGTCTATTACACGGAACACTTGTAGACAGGCTAGAATGTCATCACACGGATCACTTGTAGACAGACTAGAATGTCTATCACACGGACCACTTGTAGACAGGCTAGAATGTCTATCAGACGGGCCACTTGTAGACAGACTAGAATGTCTAGCACACGTACCACTTGTAGACAGGCTAGAATGTGTATCATACGGGTCACTTGTAGACAGACTAGAATGTCTAGCACACGGACCACTTGTAGACATGCTATAATGTCTATCACACGAACCACTTGTAGACAGGCTAGAATGTCTATCACACGGGCCACTTGTAGACAGACTAGAATGTCATGTACGTTTTGACCGTCAGGATGAACTTTTTGCAATCGTCTTTTAATTTTAACCAATTTCTCAAGGTTCCATTATCTTACCAATGCTTCTCACACGTTCAACTGAATAAAACGGTAAGAAGACAAAAGTAGTGGTTATCAGGAGCATTATGAGATTATAATGAGGTGTGAGGGTGAGTGTTTTTGGAGGCAAAGTGTGTAAAAAAAAAGTAAAAATTGAACCATAGTGTAAAAACAACAACAACAAAAAATGCCTAGGTTAAACAAATAACATATTATAGTACGAAATATTAAATCTGTACTTGAAGGAGTTTGTTTCTGCACAAATAATATCGCACTTTTTTTACACGTCTTAATACGGACACCAGTAATCGTGGTATTGATAAACTGACTTAGACTGCTTAAAGTTTTTGCGACTGTATCCAATTCCTTTTATTTTGTTCTTCTGTGTGTGACAATTCGGGCGGTTATGTTTTTAATATGTCATATTATTTTGAATGCCTAGTGAATAAACTACGATTTGTCATACAGTTTTCTGTGATTGCAGAAGTCTGAAATTTCACAAAGTGAACATTACCTTTCGATTGTCCTGCACTTTTGGCATAAATAGTTTACAAACATAATAACAGATGGCGCTAAATCATAATATAACTCTCAAAAGTATTGCTATGTTGTGAATTCTTTTAATAAGCTGGTAAAGTATGATTATAAGAGACTGAATAAAGAATGTAGTCTATAATAGTATTTGAACCACACTATATCCATTGCTGAGGACGCGTTTCGCTCAATACAGAACTCACCAGCTCCTGGAGCACAAGCAGTTGTAGTAATGGTCGTAACACTATTTATATAAAGAAGACATTTGTTACAAAAACAATTTTTATGGTGTGAACTCCTTTTCTAAGTTGGCAAAGCGTGATTATAATTGTCATAAAATATTATTATTATACCTATTGTATTTCTATTACTACTTTTTTTTCAGACTATTAGGGTTTTGGAAAGGAATGTATACTAAGTCTTTCCGACATATCCATAACAATTGTTGTTGTAACAAATGGCTTATATAAATATTGTTTCGACCACTACTGTATTTGGTGTGTCCCAGCCGGTATGATGAACTTTATATTAAGTGAAACACTTCTTTAAAGTAATGCTGTTGAAATACTATTATACACCATTCTTCATCTTGAAAAACCCTAAAATAATGTAGGAATAAAATATGATTTCTGAAGTATAACAATTCATATTTAAACAGTTGTTATTTCAATTACTTTAATATTGAATACTTCATCATTGATTTATAATGCTGCTAACTCTTACGTATTTGTTAAAATACCAAAAG